CCCCCGGCAGCCCCAAACTTGCCTCCCTCCTGGGCTGCCAGCACACCGAGGTGTGCTAATGGCGTTGAGCGCAGCCCCCGGGAGACCTGAAACGCTTTGCTGGAACAGTCGAGACCGAGCTGGGGCGCAGGGGCGCAGGGGCGCAGGGGCGCTGGACCCTTCCCGCCAACATTCTGGGGACCCTCGGGGTAGGGCGTGGGGGTGCTTGGAAGGACAGGTTGGCGCGCGGCTTCCTTGGGGAGGAGGCCGTTGCCTTTTTACTAGCTGGAGTAGACTATGTCATTGCATTTTTTAAAAAGCGGGATCAGCTAATTTGTTCCTCCTATCTCTTTTGCTAAAATGTAGACGAGCAACGGTGTTGTTTTAGAGGTATTTAGGAGTGGTTGTGGATATTTGTGTATTTTACAGCTCGTCATGTGGTATATAAAATCAGTGGTGCAAACACTTTATTTTGGATGCCAGTTTAAGGAAGGTTCTTCTAGAAGTCAGATCACTCAGGTGATGGATGAGGCCAGTGTGTTCTGTTAGGATAAACCAGACGGGAGCCGATGGGTTTGAGAGCTCAAGTTTGATACAGGTGTGGGGAGCTGAGACTCTGAAAGATGCGCTTGTCAACCAGCAGAGGCAGTCTTGCCGCCAGCCTCGCTTCCAACTCAGAGCTGACCTTTGCCTTTCTGAAAACTGGTTCAGTCTTTGACCCCCTTCTGTTCTAGAAGTAAAATTCCTACATTAGGGCTTTTAGTATGTTTGTTTCCTCTTAGGCTGCCGTTTTTCATTTTACACTAAATAAAAGGTTTAGAATTTTGGGAAAATGGATCATTGTAAACTCCAATTGTACAGCCAGGATTTCAGACTAGAGATTTTGGTGAACTGAATTAATATAAATAGTAAGGAGACAGAATCTTCTTTTTCCCCCCATTCTGTAATTCCCCTCCTTTGGATGCCTAATAGCTGTTGGTTATTTGTTATTTCTTTCTATAAACAGGCAAACTCTGTTATTTTTCATTGACATTTGTGGCTTTAGCAGCAAGGAAGGCATTTGTTCTTCTTTTAGGTTCACTTTGTGCCCATTTTCCAGTATTATGGCAATCAATTCTCTTTCAGTTATACTTTCAAAAACAATTTAGAAAGCAGAATTCATGTTTAAAGAAAATTCTTAAGTCAATTCCAAAAGGAGTAGTGATCTGGTTAATAAGTAACAACTTGTTTTAAGGTTCAGCTATGGTTCATTTTTAATGTTTTTATTAAAACTAAAGTGAAAACAAAACATTTAAGAGTCTATGGTTGCAAAGTGACCTCACTCATATTATATACATAAAGATTTGATTTTTTTCTTCTTGTGATGCCAGGTACCAGATCCAAGATCAGGCCCATGGCTTCAGTGTGTTAGGCTGGTCCTGTTTGAGCTGCATCCTCAGCCCTAGAAGAACATTTTAGCTATTTTCCTCTATAAGATGAGATGTTTGGAAGATCCAGTGCCTTTTCTGCTTAAAATGTTATTTTAGTAGAAAAAATAAAGAAAAAAATAACAGAAAGGACCAAAATGGACATAGGGACAAGTCTATTACCTTCCATTTCCTTTACTTACACTCTATGAAAGTATTGATATGTCTTTGTTTTTCTGTCACATAGATCCACTGAGTCATTCTCCTTAGCACATTTATCTGACAGGGAATACCTCCTAATTTTCATGCATCTTCTTCCTCACTACCCAGAATATTTCCCAGAATCCTGATTTTCACACAACATGCTAAAGCATAATATATTACTGTTTCTTCTCTAATCTAGTCAGATTGTTTCAAATGTGTGAAGGAAAACTTTTAGATAAAAGGTATGAGAACTGAGGAAATCATGGGAAGAGAACTTGTGGATATAAGTTGTTATAATTTATGAAAACAAAGCAGTTGCCATACCAATTAATATAAAGCCATTTTTAGAGTCTTATTTATAATCAAGGATATTGAGCAATTCATTTGCATTGTTTTTCCTTGCTCACCTTCTACTTTGTAAAAGAACCTGTGGTTAAAATACACCTTTTGCTTCTTTTAAAATTATTGATTTATATTTGTAGGGGGTGGGCATCTTGCCTGCAGTTGTGTCTGTGCACCATGTGCATGCAGTACCTGCAGAGGGCAGAAGAGGGCGTCAGGTCTCCTGAGACTGGAGTTAAGGTGGTGAGCCACCATGTAGGTGTTGGGAATCAAACCCAGATCCTAAGCCACTGCTGTTGCTACCTACCCCCGCCCCAACCATCTCATGTTTTAACTTCTGGACAGTTAGTTATTTTGTTCCGTCAACAAGTAGAACTTGAACATTTTCATAATGTTCTATAACTTTATGCAAGAGCTTTTTCTTCATTGCAGAAGGAATTTTTTTTTCTCTTATGTCCTGCATGCAAATGTGGTATCTCTACAATGTGATGACTCACATGTTGGTTCTTGCCTCAAGCGCCAGCTACAACCCTGCCTCCCTGCCAGCAATGCAATTCTAAGTCTGGATTTCTTTTCTTCTTCTTCTTCTTCTTCTTCTTCTTCTTCTTCTTCTTCTTCTTCTTCTTTTTGTAACCTTTCTGTATCTTTCTCCTGCTGTCATTTCATTTGTTTGGTTTGTTTTTTGTTTGTTTGTTTGTTTTGTTTTGTTTCAAGACAGGGTTTCTCTGTAAAACCGCCTTGAGTGTCCTAGAGCTCTCTTTGTAGACCAGGCTGACTTGGAACTCACAGAGATCCGCCTCCCTCTACCTCCCGAGTGCTGGGATTAAAGGTGTGTGCCACAATTCCAGGCTCCTGCTATCATTTTAGAAACCTGTCTGTCCTTTGTTAAATGTGTATTTCTTAAATCTTACCCCCAATTTTCTTTTTAAATTAAACAGAATGCTCTCAATTCACATACACTACAATCAAAATAGCTAGGATTGTGGGGCGACTCTACAGAGGTAAATTTGTGTAATCTTTAATCTCAGATAACGGGGAATGAAGGGTGAAGAAGAGTATTGTATCTGTCCCCCTCACGAGGTGCATGACATGAGATTGTTTCTGCACACGTGAGAGGGTGCAGATTGTCTTTAAAATGGATAAGATTGGCCAGTCAGTGGTGGCACATGCCTTTTATCTCAGCTCTCAGGAGACAGAGGTTCGGGGCCAGCCTGGTCTGCAGAGCAAGTACTAGGCCAGGCAGGGCTACACAGAGAAACCCTGTCTCTGTGAAAAGACAAAAACAAGAAAGATAAGATTAATTGATAGAAACTGTTGCTAGAGGTTCAGTTGAACAAAGGCCTTGCTATCTGTATAGTCTTCCTTTTATCCAGACCAGGAGTCTAGCTAGAGCTTTCCAAATTGTGGGTCTTGGTTTCTTCGTTCAGCATGCTTCATAACCCCTCCATTGTGTGCACTGTGAAGGATTCACTGAGCAGACCATGGGAAAGAAACTGTTGTTAGTTAGATCACTTCATAGACGGGATTCCTTGAACAATGAATACATGTGACTTTATTCCTGTTATGCAAAGAGAGAACCAGATGTTTGCCTTTCTATCTAGGTGACTGAGGAATTCCAGTCAGATTTTCAACTCAAATCCTAGTAACCATGTGAAAAAACATATTATTAGTATTAGTGTTCTTACTCCCCCTTTTACCTTTTAGCTTCTGTTTTACCCCATTTCTCTTGATTCTGATTATTATCTAATTATAATTCTCATATTTCATTGAATTACATTATTTTAGATGACTCATCCTTAATGGAACAAGAAAAAATACAAAATATGAAACCAAATGAATGAAGGAATCACAGAGTTGACCTCTGGACACACAGTGTTTCTGATGAACACATTTCAAACGGGTTACATTTAATGAGTTTTGAGCAAGTATTAAAATTTTGATATATTGGTACTTGTGTATACAGCCAAATGGGAAATAGTGTCATGCAGTTTTATAAAACTGAATTCCAATTTGTAAAGTTAAACTCTACTTGTCTTTGAACTGTTGAATGGATGCACATCTGTGGCTATTTGGAGTTGATAAGACTGTGTGATTTAGTTCACTTATTATATCGGGAGTATCTGCCTCATAGCATGTGTTAAGTCAGGGAAAAGGTTCTCTGTAGTTTTTCAAAACTTGTTTTTAGCCAAGGGGTGAATCCAAACTAGCTCAACAGTCACTGTGCTGGCCAATCTCACTTCTGTGCCCACTGACTATATGACTTAGCAGTGTTCTAATAAATCACAATAGTAATTCTCCAAATGTCTTTCATTTACCATGTTTGAATGACTGAGTTTCCCAAGTTAATTGGCCAGCAGTTGTGTACTTAAGACAGTTAATTTGAACTGGTTAAACTTTGCCAGGCCAGCAGTTATTTACCGCTGTGTGATACTATGTTTGATAAGTTGGTCTCTCAGGCTTGCATTGGAATTGTCCCTCAGTGAGTCACTATCACTGGAAACCTGGACTCTGGCTTAAAAACAATCTTAATTTAA